CTGTTCGGGGTCTTTTGTGGTTCCTTATAAATTCTGGAATTGTTTGTTCTAGTTCTGTGAGGAATATTGTGAATATTTTGACGGGGGTTGCATTGGATCTGTGGATTGCTTTGGGTAGTGTGGTCATTTTGATAGTGTTGATTCTTCCAATCCAAGAGCACAAGAAATCTTTCCATTTCTTTGTGTCATTTTGATTTTCAGAGTATAGGGAACCTACTTGGTTAAGCTTATTCCTAGGTATTTTGTTGTTTTTGATGTAATGGAAATGTCTTTGCCAGTTATAAAATTCTGGTTTTTGAAGTGAAAAAAAAATTGAATGAAGAGCAGCAAATGGCAAAATATCCTCCTTTTTTATGGGTGAGTTGTATTCCATTACATATATATATGCTGCATCATCTTTATCTATTCAACTATTGATGTGCACTTAGGATGCTTCCATATCTTGGCAATTATAAATAATGTTGCTGTTAATAGCAGGGTGTATGTATCTTTTTGAGTTAATTCTTTTTTGTGAGTGGCTTTATTCCTTTGATAACTATGTAAGTTTAAAAAGCTAAAAAGCTCTAGAAACAATGAACAGTACATATATGTAAATTAAAAAATATATGTGCAGCAAAAAAAAAAAAGACCTATCAAGCCATGAAAGACATGGAAGAAACTTAAAAGACATATTACTAAATGAAAGAAGCCAGTCTGAAAAGGCTACAAACTGTATGATTCCAACCAAATGACATTCTGGAAAAGGCAAAGCTATAGAAACAATAAAAAGATCGTGGTTTCCAGGGGTTTGGGGAGAGGGAGGGAGGGAGGGATGAATAGATGGAGCACAGGGGATTTTTAGGGCAATGAAATTATTCTGTATGATACTGTAGTGGTGGCTACATGCCATTATGCATATGTCAAAACCCATAGAATGTACAACATCAAGGGTGACCCCTAATGTAAACTATGCACTTTGGTTGATAATAATGTGTCCATGTTGGTTCATCGATTGTACCAAATATGCCACACTGATGAGGGATGTTGAGGGTAGGGGAATATATATGTATGGGTGGGGAGGGCTATGTGGGAACTCTGTATTTTCTGCTCAATTCTGTTGTGAACTTGAAACTGCTCTAAAAAAATCAAGTCTATTAAAAAAATACAGACTTTATTTTTATTTTATTAATTTTTTTTTACTGGGGGGAAGTAATTAGGTTAACATTTATTTACTTGTTTTTTAGGGGAGGTACTGGGGATTGAACCTAGGGCCTTGTGTATGCTAAGCATGCGCTCTACCACTTGAGGTATATACCCTCCCCCTTGTTTTAGAGCAGTTTTAGAATCATGGAAAAATTGGGGGAGAGTATAGCTCAGTGGTAGAGTGCGTGCTTAGCATACACGAGGTCCTGGGTTCAATCCCCAGTACCTAATTACCCACCCCTCATCCCAGAAAAATATCATTAATAGGTAAACAACAAGGTCCTGCTAGAGCACAGGGAACTATATTTAATATCTTGTAATATCCTGTAATGAAAACACCGTTTCCCCTGTTATGAACTTCCTACATTCGTGTGGTACATTTGTTATGGTTAGTGAACCGCTCTTGACACATTATTATCAACTAAATGCCATACTCTATGTTCAGATTTCCCTAGTTTTAAACCAATGTCCTTTTTCTGTTCCAGGATTCCACGTCCACTTGGATTGTTTTTATTATTATTATCACTTTTTGTTGCAGAGACGCTCAGCCAATGCCGCTCCCCAGTCCTTCCCTTTCCGAGTGTGAGCCTTCCAGGTGGTGAAACTTGTTCTCTTGGCCTTAAATTTAGCAGGGAGCAGAGGACGGAGCTAAACCTGAAGGCTGGCTGGGTCCTGCCTGGGAGCTGAGAGGCGTGTGGGGTTCCTGGGTCTGGGGGTGGGGTGGGGGCCGAGTTGCAGGATGAGGCAGGGGTGGCACGTGGCGGCTGCAATCTGAGCCGCCTGTGTTGCAGTCAAAGCCACAGTTTTGAAGCTTCTCTTGAGCAACAGGGCATTGTCCTCTGATTGCCCCAAGATGAATCAGAGAAGTTTCTTCATTTGAAGTCAAAGGTGAGGCCCTAAGGGCCTTATAAAAACCTCCCTGGCTCAGAGCTCCTCACCAGTGCTGGCTTCTGCTACCGTTTCACACTCCTGTGCATTGAGGGTAAGTTTTTCCTTGGCTGGGCCCTCAGGGGGCCACTTGGTAGGCTGTTGGAAGCCATAGCCCTCTGCCTGCTGGATACCCTCTGGGCTGACTGCCTTCTTGGCCCAAGCAGGCCAGCCCTGGCTGCGCTAGGAAGAGCCGGTCTGAGGACTTGGGGATGGCAAAGGCGGGTGGGGCGGCTGGCATCTGTAAGAGCCCTAAAGTGCTGTTACCTGGGGAATGGGAATGGCCTGGTCAACCAAAGAGTCCTTCCCAGGTGAGCTTGAGTGAGCAGTTCCCTCCGAATTACCCTCCCCAGGAGAGAGCAGGGCATGGGACACGGTGGCACTTAAGGCTGGTTCTCTGAGGTTGGGGTGGCTTATATGCTCTTCTCCCTCCATCCTATCCACAAATGAAAATACTCATCATGGGCCAAACACAGAGCAGAGAGAACAAGAGCAGATGCTGGGGAAGTCACCCCTTGTCCCAGCCCCTGATGCAGAAAGAGAGGGGAGAGTGGCTGTGCAGGATAGGGAAGGAACAGCCTGAGACCTCCCCTGCCTCCTGAAGGTTAGCGTGAGGTGGGAAAATGACGAAGCTGGAGGAGCACCTGGAGGGGATCATCAACATCTTCCATCAGTACTCAGTTCGGGTGGGGCACTACGACACCCTCTCCAAGGGGGAGCTGAAGCAGCTGATCACCAGGCAGCTTGGGAACACCCTCAAGGTAGGTCACGCCCTCTCATGGCAGCCCTGCCCTCCCCCCTGCACTGAGGGCAGTACCAAGGCCTGAAAGGGTGATGGTGGGGCAAGGATGGGGGTGGGCTGGCCCCTGCTTGAGCTCTCAAGGGTATCCTCTCCCTGCGGTGGGATGGGGCTCCCTCCATCTCGCAATAACTCGCTCTGTCACCTTGGGCTCTGCTCCCTCCTCTCTCCGTGAAGTGGACAAGGGCAGGGCAGGGTGGGGTTGGATTTGGGGGCCACACAGTACCTTCCAGGTCAAGACTTGATTCTAGGCTGGCTCCTGAGGGCACTTCTCTCCTGCTTCTCTTTTCTCACATTGGATTCTCCCACACGGTTTTGACTAATGAGTTAAGATTCCTGGGCTCCCTAAGCTGAGCTCTGAGGGATGAGAGGCCTGTAGAACAGGGAGCTCACTGCCCCTGCTTGCCTTCTCCTAGAACACCAAAGATCAGGCCACCATTGACAAAATATTCCAAGATCTGGATGCTAATAAGGATGGACAGGTCAACTTTGAAGAATTCATAGCCCTGGTGGCCAGAGTGCTGCTGACTGCCCACGAGGAAATCCACAAAGAGTAGGAAGCCCCGAGGGGCTCTTCCCAGTGAGCCCCCACAAAGACTCTCCCCACATTAATAAATGTGCCCTTGAGAAGTTCTTAACAGTGTCTGTGTGCTTTTTTTCTTCCCCAAACTTGATCCCTCCTTATCCCTGCTATTCCAACAGGCCCCATTTCAGGCCCTGGAGCCCCCTCTCCACGTGTTCATTTCTTCACCAATGATGTATTCAATGTAAACTATTTGTTCATTTATTCACTTATTCAACAACTATTCACTGCGCGTCTATGAGAGCTGGAGGCCAAAGACACAAAGTCCCCGTCCTCTTGAGGCTTGTGTTCTATTGGGGAGGGGATAGAAAAGAAACCAGATAAACCAGTAAAAATATGTCATATGATCCACTGGTTGGTAATGATGAGAGGTGTGAAGACAGCTGAAGCAAGGAAGTAAGGTTGGGGCAGAAGGGAAGGTGACTGGTTTCGATGTGATGACCAAGAGATGCATCTGAGCAGAAATCAAACAGAAGGGAGGGAGAGCAGCTTGCAGGTGTCTGGGGGCCGAGAAGTCCCGTCAGAGAGAGGCTGAGGCCCCGAGGTGGGTGTGTGCTCGACCTGCTCAAAGAACAGCATGGTGGTGGGGTGCAGGGCTGAGGTGGGGCTGGTGGGAGGGAAATGTCTGCAGGAGACAGGGAACAGGGTGCAGGGGCTACAGCCTGGGGGGAGGAGCTTGGGCTTTGTGTCTAGGGTGCTAAGGAAGCCACAGGGGCCTTTGAGACAGGGAGCGAGATGATTACACTCACGTTCATTGATGGCTGTGTCTGTAGAGAAGAGACTGCAGGGGCAGGTAAGAGAGGGCGCGGGGACCCCAACCAGGAGGGGTTCCCCAGAACAGCCCTGGCCAGAGAAATATAACCTGGGCTACCTTTGTAATTTTAAATGTACTTTTAGTCACATTAAGAGCATTGAAAATAAAGAGGACATTAATTTTAACAATCTATGTTATTAACCCCATAGATCAAAGTATCATCATACAAAGTTACTGAGCCCATAAAAACTGACAACCCCCCACCTCGTGGTGGCTCTGCCTTCTGAGTGAGAGGGGTCACACTCTGTCTATGGCATGTGTAACCACTTTTACTTTAAACTGAGCACCCAAACCCCACACCTCGTGGCCTCTCTCTTGCCTTCTGAGACAGCCTGCACCCTGTCTGTGGAGTATATATCTTTCTGAATAAATCTACTTTTACTCAACTATGGCTCACTCTTGAATTCCTTCCTGAGCAAAGCCAAGGACCCACACTTGGCAGGGTGCGTCCCAGGGGCTCCACCGAGACCTGGGACACGGCCATCGTCTCGCCCCACGTTTCCTGTATCACTGGCAGACCTGCCAGTGGCTGCTCCCCGGCTCGCCTTCCGCAGAGGGCAGGAGATAAAGGCAGAGTTTGTGACAAAATTTTAAAAAGATGGGGTAACTTGCTGGAGCCCAGGCATGGCAGATATGAAGAAAGTGAGAAGCGGAACTTAATGTTGAGGGAAAAGTTGGGTTTGTCTTTTGGTTTATTTGGTGCGAAGCCTTGGGGAGATGATGTGCAGGAAGCTGGGATTCAGGTCTGAGGCTTGGAAGAGACAAGTGCCAGCCACAGAGGCCCCAGGGTGAGGCTGGGCTGTGCACCAGGAGAAACTACTGCATATGTGAGGTGTGGATCTGAGGCCCAGTCGAGGCAGTGGGAAGTGGGGAAGTGCTCCAGGCAGCAGGAGCCTGGGGAGACCCTCTCCTGGGGATGCGGCAGGGCGGAGAGGCTGAGCCGGGGTGGAGCGGGATTGGCAGAAGATGGAGGAACTCAGGACCCAGAGAAGGCTGAGAATGGGGGAGCATTCAGAGAAAGCCTTCACTCGCTGAGTGACCTTTGCCTTTCTGGATCTCTGTTTTCTTTGTTTTTGAAGAATTCAAAGGAATTCAGGAAATTCATTTGAAGAGTTTAGATGAACAGTCAGGTGTCATCCAGTTTTAATAGTCTCAGATACTTGGACGGAATGGAGGACTCTGGGTAGGACCTCAAAAGGTGGGAGGGAGGGTGTTCTTGGCACTGAGAGGGTGGCGGCCCAGAGGACGAGGGGAAAGTTATAGTTCTGGATTCAGAGCCTAGTTTTACCCCTTACTAATTGTCAGACCTCGAACAAGTTACCTAAAGTCTCTAAGCCTCAGTTTCTCCATCAATAGAATGCAGATCCTGTTACGCCTTTCTCAGAGTTGATGTGAGGATCAGCTAATCTAACAGCACGTGCACAGCACTTAGCACAGCCTCTGATGGCAGGTCGGCACTCCGCAGGTACCAGCATTAACGGTCAGATGCTAATTTATATAGGAGGTAATTAGTTACAGCTAGTTACAGCAAAGATTTAGGTTATTTTTAGGGGGTAACTTGGGTAACTGTTAGGTAAGTAACCGAGGGCAGTCGGGCACTGTCTTTCTCTAAGGGTTTTTGAGCTGGGGCCAAGCTGTTGTTCTGCAAACTGGGGTTCTTGCTCAGTGCACCCACGTGTATCTGTGGCCCCTTCTGACATATATGGTTCTGTTAGCGTGTGGTGAAAAACAAGAACTAAACCAAGCCCATTTGCTATTCAAGTAGCCATGATTTTGTTTTGAAATAGCCACCTGAACCACAAATTGAACTTAAATCGTATTTAGAAAAATTTTAAGGGATCTCACACTTGGTCAAAATCCATCCATCAGAGGCACCAGAGGCAATGAAAAGAGCCTTCGACCTGGAATCGGATGCACTTGGTTAGCCTCCCAGCTCAGCTGCTCCTTGGCTCCGTGAGTTTGAGCAAGTGACCTTCCCTCTGTGAGCCCATATTATCTGTAAAGGGCAGTGGACCAGGTAATCTCTAGGCCCTTCATGAAAATGCAGAGCCTGGCCCCCTGACAGTGGCCGCTACCACAAAACAAACAAATGGACCTGAGGACAGTTAGAAGCACGACCACGGGGGCTGGACTTGTCCTCTCCGCCATCTCTCCACCAACCCCCTGTCTGCCGCCGGGAGCCTGAGTCCCCAGCCACTCCAGAACATTCTCCAGTTTCCCCACGGACTTTCAGAGTACTCTGATTTGACACCTGTTCTTCTCTGTCTGAGATGCCCTCTCTTCCTTTCATTCACAAACCCTTTATTTACTTTATTATTTTTTAATTTTTAAAATATTTATTTATTCATTTTGTGGGGGGAGGTAATTAGGTTTATTTCTTTACTTTAATGGAGGTGCTGGGGATCGAACCCATGATCTCATGCATGCTAAGTGTGCGCTCTACCAGTGAGCTATACCCTCCCCACAACAAACCCTTTAAAAGTGCCTCGTACTGGGCTCTAGCTGCCAGGCTACTGGTCCTTCTTTGGCTCTGGAACTCCTGCTTACTCACCAGAGCCCGACCCAAACATCAGATCCTCCAGGGGGCAATTCTGCTCACACCCCCTCACGTATTTCCACCTCTCACTCAGAGTGGATTCCAGCTTGGGGACTCCGGGACTTGCCGGCCCATCACGGTGTCAAGCCCCTTTGGGGATGACTGGTAGGCAGAGCCCTCTGAGCGAGAGTTGCTGTGTGATAAGGGGCATTGACGGCAAACGAAGCCAACTGGCCCATCCGGGCTCTGGCGGTCAGGGGGAGGGTCTGGATCTGCTGGGACGGCCCCCGGGAGCCCCTGGTGCAAGAACGGCTAGGACTCGCCGTTTGACTCAGCTGGTAAAAACCATCTTCCAAGTTAAAAGGGAGCAAACCAGGCTTGTAAAAATCTGCAGGGCAAGCAAGGCCCTGACTTTCTATGCGTCTCTGATTTCTCTCGTTACTTAACCCAGCCCTGCACACGCCGAAGTTCAACTCTTGCCCTTTCAGCATTAATCTGAAGAAGTTTAATCCTTCCTCCCGACAGAGGCCTGCACCTCGCCCGAGAGGACGGAGGAAAAGCTCGTCCTCCGTGCTCGGAGGCATCATCCACTTTTGCTCTTCTTTTGGCCACAACATCATATGGAAATAACTATTTGGGTGTCTGTCGCCCTCATTAGACTGACGGCTCCTTGAGGGCAGGGGACCTGGCAGAGTATTCGGCACAAACGTCGGGCTCAGTCAATCCCTGCACCAGCCTCCCGCCTGGTCCCCAGGCTTCTACGCTGGGTCCCCCAAGTTCTCGTCCACACAGCAGCCAGAAGGGTGTCTAAACGTGAGTCATACTGGGTCACGACCTGGTGAAGACCCTCCAGAAGTTCTCCGGTGCTCCTTGTCACTCAGGTCTCATTTCCACTGTCACCTCCCTGGGGAGGCCCGGTCTGGTTCCCCACCTCACCTCGCAGTCGCTCCAGCCCATCTTCCTCTTATTGTGGACTCATCGCCCCCTGAAACGATCTGCTCTGTCTCCCTTGGCTTGTTCCTGCCTGAGTCTCCCTGGACGCAAGCTCTAGTGCCGTGGTGACCAGCTGTGCTTTGCTGGCCTGTGACAGTGCCTGCCTGCAGGTGCCCCTCAATGAATGAATAATTGATGAATGTTGGTTTAGTTGAATTGAATTACTGTTTGCTAGCTGAGGGAACCCACGGCTGTTATAAAATGAAAGTGCGATGCTTGCAGTGGTGGTGGTTGTGGGGATTGGGGTGGGGGGAGGACCTGGTGGTAAGTACGCCCCATCACAGTGGGTTTTGGAGACCTGGCGGTGGAGTGGCCCCCTGTCCCCAGACCTCGGCGGTATTCGAAGGCAGTTGTCATGATCCTCTCTGCTTCTCTTTTCCAGGCTCAATACTCTCAGCCCATCAACTATTTCCTCTCATGATCTACTCCTTCCATTGTTAACAGGCATCTCGGAAGCTCAGCATCTTCTGTTTTAGAGGAATCATCCCTGCTGAGACGTGGGCCTGTGTTACGTCTCAAAGGCACCCCCCTCCTGGAAGCACCCCGGCTGCTTGGGACTGCGCCTCAGCCCCGAGACCAGGGAGGCAGAAAGCAGCAAGTGAGGGAAAGGCTCAGAATGTGAGAAGGGAGGAGAGAGAAAGAGAGGGGCAAAGCAAGAAGGAAAGGAGAGGAGAGGAAGGGGATGGACCGGACCCAGACTGGGCTGCCCCAC